GTAAACAATTCCAAGATTAGTTATCGAGAAATGTCTTCCGGGACACCTCTACAAACAGCAATTGAACATGGCAAGGGGATGGTTACAAAGAAAGATTTGGTAGTTGTAGGTCGTGGACGTCGCGACGCGATTATAAATCACCGAAAAGAATTTATTGAATTGTTGAAGAATTTGGGGTTGAGTTATGGAAATAACACAAGGAAATGTTTAGGTGATATAGCTGAAGCTTTTCTCGTTAGTCAAATTTCATCTAGCGTACTTGTTATACAAGGAAGCACTAAAGATATATAACATTGAGGAACTTTACCCCCTCGGAAAAAAAGGTTATGAAAAAAATTTTTTCTGTATTTAAACTTTTATCATTTCTTTTCTCATAGCATTAGTTAGCATTGGTATTATTTATTTTTCCATCCAAACAATTTCCATCCAAACAATAAAATTATAATTATAGCAGATTTTCGCTGATTTCATAATTGCTGGGTCACAGACAAAATAAAAATTTAACCATTGCTTTAGCAATATAGCTTCAACTATTAAACCATAAACGAACTAGAATAATAATTGTAATTGTCTCAATTTTTTAACATTTATATTTACGTTGAACGTCATGCGAGAAAATGGACCATACAAAAAAAAATGAGTACTAAATCTAATTAAATTCTAATATCATCGAGTCCGGAGGACTCTATATATTACAAGAAATGTCCGTAATTATTCAGCTCACGTGATTGTAACATATTTTGTATAGATATTTGTAACACTTTTATATTTTAGATATTTATCACGCTTTTTTTGATTTATAATCGAAGGGAAAAAGAAAAAAAAAAAAATATAAATATTCGTCTCATTTAAATACATTAAATTGGAAACAAATATTCTAGAGCATACCTTTTATAATGTTAAAGTTTAAAGCATATAAAAAAAAATACAAATTGTAAAGTGAAAACAACGCTTTTTTGGACTGGTTTTTTTTTTTTATTTTATTTACGTTGTTATGGTATCATAGAACGTAACCTTTGTTCTTCGACCTTTCTTTTTACAGTTCTTGATGTGTTGAAGTCTATCGATTGTGAACGGTATTAAGCAAAGATCACTAAGTGAACGAACCCGTGACAATGCTACGAATGTTAGACCGGCCGAAAACTCTTTTTTTTTCCATGTCTATTTTGGCTTTCTCAAGGTCAAGCCTTGACTTTTGTGGGTCGTTATAGCCCACGCAAGACATATTGATACTTGAAATCGAGAACAGGTTGTCCCATTTTGCCTTCCCAACTACGTCTGATAGGTGTTATCGGAACAACATCATCCCCTTCTATGGTTGTTATAGTGGGGTCCGTTGTAATTTTCGAATTTGATGAACACTGCTGTTGGAAGTGCTGGCGGTCACTCCTCAAATAGTATAATTTGTACGATACCCATCGATCCGTTCACTAACCTGCTTGAATCCATAGATTTCCACTAACATAACACGGCAACCTTTTGATTATAATTTCCTTTTTGAATTCCGACAGTAACTATAATCATTGTATGTGTGGGTAGTTACATCTAAAATACAATAGCTTGGAGAGAAAAGAAAAGAAGTACATGATCAAAGTCCAATAACTATTTTTCTCCATAGCTCGGTCATTTACAATATATTCACCCAAATTATTATGTACTTCACATTTATTATTGTGATAAAAAGGTTTTGACGGATTAGGTTTGAATAATTATATTGGAAAGCATTTAAAAGGTTTTTATCATAATACAGAACTTCTCTTTCTCTAAAACAACTCTTAAAAGAGACGTTACTAATATTGAATATGACCCATGTGAAGGATTGCAGATCTAAGTTGACTGGTTACTCTGATGATGGAATTATGCATTTCAAGTCACACAACATATTGTATTACAAACAAACATTTATATTAAAAAAATTTTTTTTTTCTCTCTGTATCTACAATAAATATGTCAAGGCGACGGCAACATAAAGTTCAACAACAATCATCAACATCACCATCACTTTTAAAAGAAAAGCAAGTGAATGATGATCATATTTCCTCTATAACTCAACTGTGGACATTACCTAGAACAACCTTATTATTAATCACCCCAATTTTAACTTCAACAACTCTTCAAATATCTCCACGATATATTGAACCGATTTATGGAAATGTCTTCTCATCAATTTACTTTTCTCAAGCAGCTTCTGCTTCGATACTTTTGGGCATTGCGATTGGAATTGGATTTGTAGTTAAATCGAAGGAGCTTTCTCCAACAATTAAAGATCAAAAATTAGCCAAAACTTTAATATTCGGAATTGATTTGTGCGGAATTATACTTGCATTATCTCCATTAAGCATTAAAATGTTGTTTGGTCTTAGTGATATACTTGGACCATATATTGGACCTCACGTAACACAACTTGGATTGGCCTATCCAACAATGTTCTTATTAGGATTCCTTAATACAATTGCTTGCGCTCGTTTATCAAGAGAACAAAACCTTCCGACTTTAAGATGGTTTCTCTACGTCGCTATACATATTACTATAATTAAAACGTTAACTTATGTTCTTTATAATGTTGTAGATATGGGTCAAACCTGTCACAGGTTATGTTATTCGGGTTTAATAATGGCTTTAATCGGTACTCTCTTTAAATTTTTATTGCAAAATTATGGGGAAATTAATTTAGTCGAAGATGTCATTCAAAGACGTAAAATATTGGTTGAAACAACTTTATCTTTTAAAATCCGTTCTGCGAGCTTTTTGTTATTACCACAAATCATTATTGTATTCCTTGTAATATATAATGCTAATTTCAATCCACATTGCAATTCTGGAATTTTACAGGTTTGTAATTTAAACTTTTTATTAAAGTGGACTTTTTTTCGAGAAAAAAAGACTTTTCAATTTGATTGCGAAAACGCAAAAACATATACACATATCTATGTATATAAAGAAAACGATTGTAAATGGAACGGAATATACAATTCTCGCACGAAACGAGTCAGTTACTGGATGGGTTGAAGTAGTTGAGGAAATAAAACCTCGAAACATCCGTGTGATGCGTGTAGGACACTCTTTAATAGGAGGAATTTATAGAGACACAAATGATTCGGTATTTGGATCTTTTTATTTTTTAGAAGGTAGAATCAACAAATGATCAATTCGTTTAAAATTTGGCATATCATTTCATTAAAATCTTTCCTTTATAATTTAGCTGTAAGGTTAATAGAAAATCGAAAAATTACTGAACAAGAAAGAGCTCTTCAAATGTATGATTCAAAGATTTAATCAAATATTTTTTAAAAAAATTATTTATAATGAGATATTTTTTTTTTCTATTTAACCAGTGGATTAGGTATCGGGGTATCGGCAAAATCATTGCAGGATCATAATGTTTTATTGGATATTGTAGAATTGGATCCTGTAGTTTATAACCTTGCAGTAAATTATTTTGGTCTTGAACGTCGACATAATATTTATGTTCAAGATGGTAGAAAATTTATAAATAATGCACCTTCTCGATATTATGATTATGTTTTACATGATGTGTTCACTGGAGGTTCTGTACCTTCAGTTTTATTTTCTATTGAAGCCTTAGAGCAGATCAAGAGAATTCTTAAAAAAAATGGTGTTTTGGCCTTGGTAAGTTTTTTTTTTTTTTTTTCCTAAAAAAAAAACGAAAAAAAAAAAAGTCATTAATTTTTAAAATAAAATGAAATGAATTTATAGAATTTTGTTGGATCTGATAAATGGCCACAAGCTGAAAGTTTAGCATTAGTAGCAAATACCATTAAATCTGTATTTCCATATTACAAATGTTTTAGAGAAGGTCCATTAGAAAAAGGATCATTTCAAAATATGGTATCTGAATTTATTGCATTATTCTAAAATATCGTTAATCAAAGTATATTTAACAACGATTTTTATTTTTATTTATTTTAAAGGTCTTTTTTGCTTCCGTTGGACCGATTTCTTTTAGAAATCCCACGGAAGAAGATTTTATGGATAGTGCAATGAGAGAATATATGTTGGAAAGTTTTACACAATGGTCAGTTGATTTAACAAAATTTAAGAATGTATCTGATATTATTACAGATTTACGTAATCCTTTGGATGAATTACAACAATTAACTGCTTTTGAACATTGGAATATTATGAGAACTATATTTCCTCAAGAATTTTGGATTAATTTTTAAAAAAAAAAATAAATCTCGTAAATATTTTAACCAATATGAATTTTTTTTTTTTTTAACGATTCCTTTATTAAAATTTCAATACATTTTATCAAGTATAAAAATTTTTAATATGTGCCTAATAATTTTAAAGATTTATTTCAGTACTCGTAACTAAACATGATAAAAACAGTTACTCTCATAATTGAATTTACATATGGAACCAATCACGTCGTTCGTAATGTCATTTTCTAATAACAATCGCAAAGTAATTTTTCCTCAATGGTGATATCTTTGGTATTTCTGTTTCATCGTTTATAATGTAACTTGCGATAAAAGCGTAAGATTTTTTCATTTAGTTCATCCCCATAATTGAATTATATAGTCATACTTTAAAGTTTGTGGTTATACTTGGAATTATTTTTTTGGTCGAATATATTTAATGAATAAACTGTCCATAAAATATTAAAAAATGAGTTACCCAAACATAAAGACAATTATAATTTAAGTTCTTGCAAGATGGTTAATAATTTAACTTTATGATAGATATAAAAAATGTTCTGTACTTATATAAAACTTAACAATCTTAATAATCTTAATAATGTAATAAACTGTCAAGTAAATAAAAATAAAAATCGTGTCGCTACGGCGTTTCTTAAGTATGTAAACAAGACAGGTATAACCCTAAAATTTTGCATATTTATAATAATTTTTTTTAATTCTAACTTTCTTAAGGTGATCGTTTTCTTCCATAAATTCTAAAAAAAAGAAAAAAAAAAAAAAATAAGAATTATAACCTGAGAAACTTTATAGAAATACTGTAATTTCTTTGATGTATGCCTACCTATATGATTTGGAATAAGATTTATACTCATCATATTCTTTTTTGATTTTTTCTACAAGAATATCATATTTTTCAATTGGAATACCCATGAAATTACATATGTATGCTTTGGTATGGGATATGGCCACCCAAAAGTCATCTCCAAGCTATGTAACAAATTACATTAGAAACGTCCGATTCGCATGAGACTGATAAGCAAGGATTTTTAAAAAAAATAATTACCAACTCTCCTACTCCTTTCCCGTGTGAACCTAATGGTGTTGCTTTACTTTCGATGTGAACGTCAACAACTTTGTTAGTTGCTTGCAAGTAACCTTCAATACGAGAAGCAATAAATGGATCAAGTCCACGTGAAGTCAATAGGTCACGAACTAAAAAAAAAAAAAAAAATAATTATTTAACAATCTATAATTAATTTAATTAATTTGAAAAAAAAAAAAAATGTAAGAATCGTCTATACATACACAATTTCATAAATCTTTTTGTAAGAGGACCAGCAAAATATACTTCTATATCCACTTCCTATATGTATAGTAAAAAATGGTAAAACCGGTAATTTGGACAACCAATCAACAAATGTTCCAGTTGCGTTGATGGACTTACCATAAATTCAATCCAACCACCAGGTTTAGTAATTCTAACCATGTCAAGGATTACATCTTGCCATTGTTTTTTGGTTAAAGCAAAACACATCAACCTTTGATACACAAAATCAAAGGTTTCATTCGGAAAAGGAAATCCACTAATAATATTCGTTTCTAAAAATGCTACATTATTACTTACATGAGAAGGAAACATTGATGGAGAAAAATCAACACCGATAAAAGTTGAATTTTCATAATGATTTGCCATATCCAAAACCCATGATCCTGGACCACATCCAGAATCTAATACTCTAGTACCCCTTGATGCAAGTTTTCCATGCATTGGAGAAGAATAAACACTTTTCCATATATATTTATATAAATGATGTAGCATCTGTAATCTTGAAATTTCCTCTTCATCGTTTGCCAGAAAATATACCACACCTTCTACATTATGAAACCTTCTACCTTCTACAAATCTAAAATTTTCAAGAATTGATTCTCCATTATATTCCATTATGTTAAGTGGATGAGATTTTATATTGTCATAGTTATCTTGTTGATTCATAATTTAGCTAAAAAAAAAAGTAAAGAAAATAAATATGAAAAGGAAATTAAAATGATCGATTTCAACAGGATGTTGTTATTTTAAAAGGTCTCTTTCGTTTATATATATACATTTTTTTATTTTTAAAGAATTTTTTTCCTATATTAGGAATTTCCCTGATTAACAACGAAACAACACGAGTTCAACGGTTGAATTTCAAATAATTGGCCTATGTGCAATTCATCGGCGGTTAATCTTTAAAAGCGAATACAATGGTTTCCTATGGATTAACAAAAAAAATATATATCAAAAATAATTCTGCACATGATGAAAGATAAATATTCATAACAAAATTTTTTTTTTTTCACGAGTAATTATTAAAAAAGAATGTGATACTGTAATACAAAATAGATAGACGACTATAAATTTTAATATAAAAAAAGTAATTTTCTCTCTGGGATGATTTTCTTTACAATGCCGGTAACTAAGTCTTCTAGACCTAATTGATATTTTATTTATATAGATTATTTATATAGACATCGTTATAGAATGTTCTAATTCTAATATAAAATTTGATGAGCGAGTTCGGTAAAATTTTTTTCCAATTATATTGAAGACTCGCATTAATTCACATTTTGATGATTATTATAATTATTAATATTAATATTAATATTATTATTTTACCAACAACAAAGGCAAAACGATTAAAAAAAATTTTACAAGAAAAATGATATGCCTAAATTTTAAAGATGCGCCTGGTAATTTGCCGGCTATAGGTTTATTTCTTAGAAAAATCAAAGGTCATTTCCTATCGGAAGCAATCATTAATATTTGATTATCATTTTCTCCTGGAGTTGGTATTGCACGACTTCGATTATTTTTATTCCAATTATACAAAAAGAAACTTCCAACTGATAATAAAACGCCTCCGAATAATGAACCTACAATTGCAATAATCATAGCTGAATTGTTTGAAGGATGAGGAGTAGGTTGTGGTATTGGTGATGATGAAGATGAAGATGAAGGAGGAGGTGGGGAAGATGGTGAAATGACAGGCGTCTTGAATGATGGATCAAAATTTGTTGTCCATATATATTCTTCATTATCGTAAATGTCAAGCAATAAAATATCATTTTCAACTTCTCTTTTATAACCATCTCCTGTTAAAAAGAATTTTTAATAATCGTAAGAATTTAAATAAAGTTTAATAAACAATTTCAAGTAAATATAATAATTACCAAATGATATAACCATATATTTTCCAATTACATTTGCCCTGTGATAATATCTTGATGCCGGTAGGTTGCCTCCAGAAACCTTTGGAATACGCCATTCAAATGTGTTCAGGTTTAAAGTATAGAGGGATTCGATTGAATTGATCTCATTTCCATTAGTTCCTCCAAAAATTATTATTTGTTGACCATCCAATCCTGTTTTGAAAAAAAAAAATTTTTTTTTTTCATTACGAGATCTTAAAGAAAAGGCGAATGACGGTAAATTTAACGCTTACCAAGAACAGCTGACAAACCAAATCTATTAGAAGGTATCGATCCTATGGTTTGCTATAGTAACGATCAAATTAGTTACAAGTTAACTCATGAAAAGAAAAATCACAACTTTAAAAGCTTACTCTTGTACTCCATTTATCATTTACAGTGTCATAAAGATAAATCTATGGGAACGAATGTTGCTCTCTAATCAGACCAATCGTTTTGAAACAAAAATTGCAAAGATAACTTGATGATTTTACCTCACTTAACGTTAAAGCACTCTCGTCATACATCATGCCACCCATATAAACAATATTCTGACTGGGTAAGATAACCCCAGCATAATTAATTCTTGGAGAAGGGGCATTTAATCGACTTCCTTCTCTGAAACTTAAATTTACGGTGTCCAAGATAATCATGTCATTTACGTGATTGCCATTTATCACCCACCCGGCAAACATATAAAGTTTCTTGCTAGAATCAATGAAACCTAATAAACTTCTCCTTTTGGCAAAACTATTGCCAGTTATTTGGGGGATATTCCACTGGTTACTTTTCGTATCAAACATATAAACCGATGCCAAATTTTCTGTATACGGCATACCTCTTCCTCCATATATAACTATATCATCATTTACACCACCTTTGGCGGATACAGCACCAACATGTGCTGGAATGATGTTAATGTTTGTTAAGTCATTCCAAATTAATTTTTTGGTGTCAAATGGAATGGAAACATTGAGATAAAAATATTCTTTTCCAATAATTCCACTGTCTTCATCTTTTCTGTTTATGTTTTGTCCACCTAAAATATATAGTTTTTCATCAACCAGCGTAGCGGTGTGAAGCATTCGTAGTGATGGATTTATTTGGCTATTCACTTCAACAAATAACTGAATTGAAATCCATAATATGATACATATCAAAGAATCTTTTGACATGATTACTCAAAGCTTTTTTTTTTATTTTTTTTTTTTATCAATATTAACCTTAGATGCGAATTGGGATATATATGAATATAAAAAGTTGGAAAATTATTGGAGTTACACGATAAAATTATATATATATACGCCCTTTCGTTTATATATCAATTTCCGGGGTCCTGTTTATACATTTCTTTTACAAAAGAAGTAACGCTAGTATATAAAGAAACCTTCAAGTCCAAGATTGGGCAAGACGAAGAAAGCCATTGTTCCTGTTTAGTTTTAGTTTTATCTTTTTTTTTTTTTTTATTATTTACAAAATGAATTAGATTTATTTTTGAATCATTTCATTTTAAATTTTTTCCTACTATTTATTATCATACACGAACCAAAAGCCTTGTTCAATCGCCAGATGCTGAATTTTGATTGACATTTTAACGGAATAAGTAGCATCCCTGATTGGTAAGTGTTTGATATGATTATTTTACAAAATCTTGAAGTTTCAAATGCGTTTCACCCAATCGAAAAGGTAAATTTCTACTCGCTTTTGGAAAAGAATCCAGTTCAAGAATTAGTATCACTGTTTCATGTTTGTTTGACATTTTGTAATGCGCCGCAGTTGCTGCGTATTAACAAATTATTATGTAGTACATATTTATAAAATAATTAATAAAAAGATTTTTTTCACAAATCTTATAACTAAAAAGTTATAAACATTAATTGTAATATTATAAAACTTATAAATATATATTTTATTGGCTTAAATTTATTAGTATTTTATATTCATAAACTAATATTACATAATATTTTTAAAATCATCAAATTATATAAAATAATATATTATTATTTAATTAATACTAAATTAAGCATAAGTTTGATTAAGTTTATATATAAGGTTGTGTAAAATTTTAGACTTTACTTAAAGCCATTCTAACAAATAGTTTAATTTAATATCAATCCTCTCATTTATTCAAAAATTTAGATTTAAATATATAACAATTTTTTTAAATAAAATAATTATCATTTTTAAAAGTTTTATATAATATAAAATTATGATTTCTTTTTTTTTTCTATTTATAAAAAAATTTCTGAAAATAATAGTTAAAATAATTTATTTCTATTAATATATTATTTTTAATACAATGAAAAAATTTTAAATAACTAAAATAATAATCACTTTTAATTGAAAAATTATAAGAGATTGATAAATAAAAAAATAATATTTAGCTTATATGAAAGTATATTATTTACTCTTTTATTTTATAAGTAAATTAGTATTATCAATTTAAGCTATAATATTTATACTATAAATATATTAAATTTTTTATAAAAATCATATTTAATAAATCTTTAAATACTTTTTTTTTTTAAAAAAAATTGATTTATTAAAAATATAAATAATATTATATTATATTTTTAAGGTAATTTCTATTTGTACAAAGGTTATGACATAATTAGCATTAATATTATTTTTGTCAACATTAAGAAATTAAAAAATTAACCTGTGACATATAAAGTGTAACGAATAATAATTTTTACCAAAAAATTTTAAGTCTCTAAAATAAATAGTAAAAACTAAAAGCAAAGTGATATGATACTATTAATAAATATATCTATAATATAATTTAAGTATATACATCCCATATAAACTTAGAAATTTTTTATTTTTAAATACTTTAAATATAAATTATTAATTTTGATATATATTTTCAAAAAAATTTTTATAATAATCAGAATCAACTAAAATAAAAATATCTAAATATTAATAAAATATAAAAAATTTATAATTTCTACTAATAAATAATTCAAAATTAAATAAAAATATAATTCATCAAATACTTTAATTAGTATTTAACTAATAAATAAATAGCATAATAATATTATTATTATAATAAAATAATATTTTTTTTAATTTTGTACATTCTGTAAAAAATATTTTATAATAAAAACTGCTATTAATAAAAATCTTTTATCTAAAATAATCAAAAATACTATAATCTTTAAACTTTTAATTATAAATAATTAATTTATATATTAAATATGATTTTTTTCTTTTATTAAAATATAATTTTATTAAAATTTGTTAGTTTAAAGCATAAGCAAAAAACTATTAAATACTATGCAACTTAAAAATTTTATTAATCTATCTACCTACTTATTATTTAAATTAATGCAATTTTTTATTACATTTATCTGTTATATATGTAATTGTATATCTTTTTACTGATCAATTAAATTACTTATATTAAATTTATGATTATTTCATATTTACTACTTTAAACTTCCTAACAGTTTTTATCACTTAATTAATAACTTTATCTTTTATATAAATTAATTAAATAAAATTCTTTTTTTTACTAAATTTTTTATTTAAAAAAGTATTTTTATAATTTTCAAAATCTTTAAATTTAATAATTTATAGTAATATAATATAATTTTAAATCTCTTTATCTAAAAATAAATTATTTTATCTTTAAATAATAAATAGATTTATAACTCTTTTTTTTATAAATTAAAATAATCTTTTAATCTTAAATTATATAATAATTTAAATTTTTTAATTATAAATTTAAATAATATATTTTAAATAATTTTTTATTATTAATTAAAAAATTTTATAATTATATAATACAATTAGATTAAAATTACTTATCTAAATTCATAAAATATCAAGATTTTAGTTATGCTATTTTTTTTACTAAAGTTTAATATATTTTCAATAAGTTTTAATATAATTTTACTTTTTCTAAATTAAATAAATTTTTTAATAAATTTTGCAATTTTAAATCAAGTTTATTTATAATTATTACTTTTGATCATATAATAATTTTTTTTAGAAATATACTTATAAAAAATTTTATTATATTATAATAATTTAAAATTATTTTTATTAGTTTAATCATAATTAATCTAATATGATAATAAAAAGATTTTTAATTATAAATATGTTTAATTTATTAAATAAAATCATTGCAATAAAAAAAAGAAAATAGATTAAAATATTAAAAATAAAAATAATATTAAATTTTAATAAATTTAATTTAAAATTAAAATTTATATATAAAATAAAATTAATTACTTTAGTATTTTATTATAAAAATCTTAGATTTTTCTTTATTTATTAAACTAGACAAAATTATAAATTACTTAAAAATTTTATAATAAAAAGTTAATCTTTTAATTAAAATATATAAAAATCTTTCATAAATTTTTATTAATAAAATTTTATATATTTTTTTAGATCTATACTGTAATTCTTCTTTTATATCATTAATAAATTATTATATTATTAGTTAAATTTAATAATAACTTATCTTATTTTTTTATTTATTTAAAAAAGTCCTTAAAAAAAAAAGTAAATTATTTACTATTAGTAAATTATTAATCAAAAAATTAGATTTTATATAAAAATTAAATATATATTATTATAAATTAACAAATAAAAATCTTTTGATTTTTAATATATCTAAATATAATTTTTTTTTATATAAAATTAAAACCTAATTATTTAGTTTTCTTATATTTTTATTTAATAGAATTTTATAAAATATTTATTAATAAATTATTACTAAAACTTTTTTAAATATTTTTATTAAAAGATTAAAAATTTTTTAAATAATTGTTTCTTCTCTTAAAAGATGCTAATGAAAATGAATATAAACTAAATACATTTTAGATATTCAAATAGTTAAATAGTCAAAATTCTTTTAAAAATTTATTGATTCAAATTCAAAAAACTTTAGCTCAGTGGAATTATCTAATTGAAATATTGAAAAGATAGTAAGAAATGATTGAAAAATTATAAAATGCGCAGTTAGGAAATAGCTCATGATGTGTCATATTATATACAAGATGATTTCGACTTCCATGTATTAAAAATCATGAATTGTGTTAATCATATTAAATCCACGATAGAGAATTGATAAAACTTTTTCCTTTATCAAGATTCAATTGGCACAGGCATAATGAATTTTTATAAATGCAATAATTTTAATAAAAGTACTCCGAATAATTTTTCGTAAATTACTAGTTCAACGTCGGGCTCCTAATTTTTAACTATTATTTGGAGGCTTTTCAACATATTTTTAACTTTATCAATTTGCTTTTATAAAAAAAAAAATTACAAAAAAAAAAAAAAAATAATGATTATTGCTGAAATATTTATTGTCGCTTTGATCGTTTAGCTGTTTGAAAGCCTATTTGATGAGTTTTTGACGTAATAAATCGTAATCACTTTTCATTTTATTAATATTATATATCAAATTTAATGATTATGCCGCAAAAAAAAGACAATTCGTTGATGTATTAAAATCTCTTTAGCCATAAAATCTCGCGCTTTCACTATTATTATTTATTATTTTCCCTTTTTTGACTCAATCAAAAAAAAAAAATTTTTTTTAATACTTTGATCGATTAGATTTTATTTTAACTTTTTTTTTTTTTATAAAAACAATAGTATAAAATATAATACATTATTAATCGTGGATTTCATGTTTTTTTTTCTTTTTTTTTAGGAATCGTTTCACTACTACATTTCTTTGTTTTTTTTATTGATTCCTTTTATCACCTTTGGTTTAACATAATTCATTGTCAATAAAAGAAAAAAAATGGAAACTTATCATGGTTCGTTTCTTATTTTCGCGATTTCTTCTCTTTTAAAACATTACACGTAATATAAAATTTATTATTTCCAGGAAGAATTGAAACGGTAAACGACGCGCTAATTATTTTTGGTAAGCTTTAATATATAATGATATGCAAATTTGCAAATAACTTACATAAAATATTTATCTTTTTTCGAGTAGAAGCATGTCAGCAAGGAATCCTTCAGAGAACCACACGTAGGTTGTTGGAAAAGGAAAGAGAAGAGCTGTGTGGTGGAAACGTGTAAGTATTTATGAATATTGAAATCTATTATTTTACATGGAATTTTAATTGAAATTTTTCTTTTCTTAGTTATGTATTCGATGAAACCGAATCAGGAATAAAAAGATGGACAGATGGAAGATTATGGAGTCCAAGTAGGATCATCAAGGACTTCCTGGTTTACCGTGAATTAGCAACACGTGATCGAAACATCAAACGTCATGAACCCTTAGATGAACTCTTACAAAAACGAATTTCAGACGAAGGACTCAAAGTTCATCAATGTAGCAAAGGATTGTTTTTATTGAGAAAAGATGGATTATTAAAGAAAACTATCAGTATTAAATTTAATGGGACGTATCAGCATATGGTCATATATGAAGATGTTATCAGAAAAGATTCTTCGGTCGAACCATTATTACCTCCTCGCGCATTTGAAGAACTTCGATATCTTCAACCTGGGGAAGATATTTTAAATTCAGAGAAGATGCCAAAGGCAAATAGAAATTATCCGAGAAAGAGTCAAAAAAAGAGGAAGGAACATCAACATACGCATCGTTTATTGAAACAATTGGTACTTGCACAAACGGATCAACAACGACAAAATTATCAACTTTATTATCAAACTGGTATTTTAGGAGGTAATTCACTAATAGGAGGCGCTTTAAGTCAAGATCAAACATATTTATGGAATAATTCACGTCAAGTAGAAGGAAGGGAAGAAGAAAGAAGTGGCATGAATAATAGAGGAGGCGAAATTAATAATAATTTAGCAATTAATGATCTTATAACATCCGAAATGTCACCATCCATTAGCAGTTTTGATCCATACGGTAATCATCAAATATTAAATGCTCTCACTTTTAACCATCGAATCAAATTTCAACCACAAAACACAACCTCGGTTGACTTGACGAGCTCAACCCCATTATTGTGTACCCCTTGGTCACCTAATCAATCAATTGGAATGAGTCATCATCATTCTTATCCTTCAACATGTGGTTCACAATTCCATGCTCAACAACAACCTTCCAATCTACGACTTTCCGTTAATAATAATAATATTATTAACGGTCTTCCAGTACAATTATTCGCTTCTTCTACTAATTCGAATAGTTCTTTTAGTAATAATCCTGCCATTACTACTAACACTAATAATATGATTGATAATATTGAGGAGAAAGATTCAATTAGTGACCTTAGCGATTCTGATATGAAGGGGGATTATTGAGTAGATTTCAAATTATTATTTTCTTAATTTCTTAAATGTATTATTATTCTTTATTACGAAATAAAATTGATTTCGTAATAACACGTGACATTAGTATTTGTGTATAAAAAGTGGATTTTCAATCAAATCTTTCACGTTTGTTTCGACATTTGAATTCTCTCGTCAAAGTATTAAAGCGAAATGGGAGAAACTTTAGTATCAGGTTTAGTTAATAAGTTCATTCTTACCATTCCTGTTTTATAAATCCCTAATTTCGTTTCCAATTTTTTTTTTTTTTTTTTTTTTTTCAAAATAAACATACTTAGCTAGCATAAATGATATTCCAAACGAAGGATTGCTCGTAAGATATTTAATTCTTTCGGATTTAATCCTTAATTGAAAATAATTAACTTCGTTTTATTAGCTACCGCCTGGATTCGCGAATCCATTATCACGAGAAGACGTGGAACGAGAAATAGAAGAAAGATATCTAATACCTCATACTTCATTCCCTACTTCATGGCTATTCAAATGTCAACAGTAAGTAATTTTTTTTTTATCTGCACTTATCCGTTCCGAAATAAACAAAAGACATACTTTCTAATTATTCTAGATTGTTGGAACGGGAGCCTGACTTTATGTCATTAACTGCATTGGAACCATCGAAATCACGAACTACTTTAGAAATGGTTCGAGATGGTCCTGATGGAAAGATTATTGGATATAAAGAAGTAATATTAGTTTAAACTACCTATCCTTATTTTAAGAATATATATTTTTAAAAGTTACAATAAGAGTTTTAATCTATATTATTGTTATGATAAAGATCGTAGTTGGTGAATCGAATTTGACTGCAAAAAATTCAACATCATTACTACGTGAACCAGGGGCTATAAATCATTTTGTCAAGGGAGCTTCTAGTCAATTTCCATTTGCTCCTGGTATGGAATAAAAATGAACCTTCATTTATATTATTCCGTTTAAATAAAAACGTTAATTCTTTAAATTATATTAGGTGGATTGGAATCTGAAGTAATGGTTGATACAGGAACAGTGATTAATATTAATGATAAAGAAATTGTAAATCTTTCATTGAATTTTGAAGACGGTTTGTTTATTTCAAATATCAAAAGGAGCTATAATATAATGCGCTTCTTCCAATTTATTAAAAAAATAATGATAAAATTTATTCTAATTTTTTTTTCAAGACGAAATACTATCAATACCTCCGGGCTTTGATCGTGGTTTGATATTTGAAGGTTTTACATCAATAATAATTATTTTTTTTTGGTTATGAATGATTTCATAATTCTTGTTGCCTTCTTAAACATTGATAATTACGTAACCTTTTCCTTATTTTACCTTGTGAATAGACGGACAGAATCGTCAAATTCGAGTCCCAACAAATAAATTGACAAGTTTAAATATTACTGATATGATATCTCATGATGAAAATGAATTGGCTGAATTCCTTGAACCGTTGAACGAAACGGAATATATTCGAGAGGTTTTAAATAAAGAATTACAAGAGGTACGGACAATTCATGAGTTTTTTTTTTTGGAATTGTTTATGACGAGTTAAATGCTAATCTTAATAATTTTAAATACGTTTTGGGCATATTTACGGATATAGAATATTGAAGTTGTAGAAATGATGAAAGACGAAGAAACGAATAAAGATATAACAGATCTAGAAGATTCTGTTGATAATCTCCTACCAACTCGGGTATGGAATAGTTTTTAAAATATATAAAAATCCCAATTTCTAGATTTAATATATTTCTCCTTTTACTTTCAGGCACCTCCACTTAAAGGCTTAGGCACAGCAAGTAAAGCAAGTACCTCTGCAGCTCGAAAACGTAATTGGGCTCATGACATTGATGTTAATATTGAATTATCGAACTTTGAAGAGCTGGTCCCAGAAATGGCTTTTGACGTTAATATACCAATCTGTTTGTTGAATTTTATTGAAATTTTTTAATACAAAATGTTAACATTGACTTCTTTATTTCAAATGGTAGTATCCGTTTGAATTGGATACATTTCAAAAACAAGCAATTTATCATTTGGAAAGTGGTTGTTCGATCTTTGTAGCTGCCCATACTTCAGCCGGTAAAACTGCGATTGCTGAATATGCTATAGCTTTATCTGCTAAACATATGACGCGGTATGTCATTTTCCAACACATACAACACAAAAAAAATTCTCTCATTACTGAGATATTACATCTTTTTCTTAGAGCTATATATACATCTCCGATTAAAGCTCTTTCTAATCAAAAATATGGAGAATTTAAGAAAAATTTTGAAGTTGGTATATTGACAGGAGATGTTCAAATCCATCCTGAATCTTCCTGTTTAATTATGACAACAGAGATTTTAAGATCAATGTTATATAAGGGAGCTGATTTAATTAGAGATGTCGAATTTGTTATATTTGATGAAGTTCATTATGTTAATGATTCGGAGGCAAGTGGCTTAATTCACTATGAAAAGTATTCTTGTTGAGTTATATTAATTCGTTTGACTCTTATAGCGCGGTGTAGTTTGGGAGGAAGTTATTATTATGTTACCTGCTCATGTAACTCTTATTCTTTTATCGGCTACTGTACCGAATACCAAAGAATTTGCTGATTGGGTTGGGTATGAAATGTCCTTTTCTTTGAAAGAAATTATGTTCAACTATTATATTATAATTATAATATTATCATCATTATGTTTCTTAAAATAAGGCGAACAAAGAAGAAAGATATTTACGTGATCAGCACACCGAAACGTCCCGTGCCACTTGAGCATTACATATATGCTAATAAAGAAATTTATAAAATTGTCGATGAAAATGGCAAATTCCTAGAACAAGGGTATCAAGAGTATGCACTCATGTCTCATTCATTATTCAGAAATGTTATTTTAAATGTGATTGACTTATACTTTTAATTATTATAACTAAAATAGGTGGAAGAAAGCTAATGATCCAGCAAAGAAAGATATGGGACCAAAAGGCAATACTCGTGGAGGAGGACGTGGAGGACGTGGAAGTGGAACACGAAGCCGCGGTGAAACCAATCATAGAGGCGGTGGAGGTGGAGGTGGAGGTGCTAGAACGAATTTTCAAGTATTTATTTCCCGATATTTTTGATTGCAATGTTTAATAGAATATCAATTTCTAAAAAAAAAAAAATAATCTTTTTTGTCTAATTAAATACAGGATAAACCTTTATGGATAGATCTTGTTAGATTATTGAAAAAAAAAGATTATTTACCAGTAATAAATTTTGTTTTTTCAAAAAAGAGATGTAATATTTTAGCAGAATCCCTTAGTAGTTTGGATCTTTGTAATGCTGCTGAGCAAAGTAAAATTTGTATTACTATCGAGAATAGTTTGAAGCGACTAAAAGGTAAATTTTAAGCTTTTATTGCAGATATAATTTGAAATTTTCGTGAAAGATATAAAATTTGATTGAATCATCTCTTTTTAATTTTAGGAACTAATAAGGATTTGCTTCAAGTGTTGAAAATGAAAAGTTGGTTGAAACGAGGAATTGCTGTGCATCATAGTGGATTACTTCCAATAATTAAAGAGGTTCGTCAATGGCATTCTTAATTATGAATAGTTCTATAGGTTGTATAAAAAAACATTTACACGGACCTTAAAAGATTAATATAAATGAAAATCTTTCTTTTTATTTAAATAGATGGTAGAAAAATTATTTAAAGATGGACTTGTCAAAGTACTGTTTGCCACAGAAACTTTTGCTATGGTAATTGAATTACTTTATCCATGATATTTTGGTTTTCCTTGTAAAAAAGTCTACTTATTTGTCTCATATTCAATTTTGTAGGGTGTAAATATGCCAGCACGTACAGTTGTCTACTCTGGTATAAAAAAACATGATGGAATGGGCCTTCGTGAATTAAATCCAGGAGAATATACGCAAATGTCTGGACGTGCGGGAAGACGTAATAAAGATCATACTGGTATTGTGATTATTCTTCCTGACCGTCGCGATAAAATTCCCGAAGTGTGTTGAAGTTATTTAATTCTTTAACAACCTATTGTTCAACCAATAATTTTTTTTAAATTTACTTTTTTTTTTATTAAGGTATCATCGCTTAAAAATATGATATTGGGAAAACCTACGAAATTGGAATCACAATTTCGCCTTACTTATAATATGATACTTAATTTATTGCGTGTTAAAGCTTTACGTGTTGAAGAGATGATCAAGCGAAGTTTTTCCGAGAATGCAAGTCAGAAAATGTTGCCAGACCAACAGGAAGAATTCATGAAGGTAATACTTTGTCATTTACTTAAATCAAAATACGAAATATATGTATTGATTTATAAAAATCTATTATGAATATATAGAACGAAAAATCTTTTAGTGAATTAAAAAAACTTGATTGTACTATATGTAATCGTGATATCAATGAATATTATGATGCCTCGACAACGATTGTAAAAATTAATCATCATCTTTTAGAAAAAATTATTATTAATCCTTTAGGACTTAAAGTACTAAGTCCTGGAAGAGTGATTGTTATTAATAGCGGTGTAAGGAATAATTTTTGTTCATATAATTTTATCTTTTTACTCTAAATTTTACGTGAATAGTAACTTTAAGATTTAGTCTTATAGGAATGTAGCAGCTGTTATATTGAAATCCGCACCAGCAGGTCCTAAAATTGACAAATCATTTTGGGTCTTTATGCTTTTAGATGAAGATACAATTCAATCTGAACGAGGTTAGTCTTCAATTTATTTAAGTTATTTTCAAAAGGATAAACGATTGTTAACAATCTTGTGATTTTTATAGAAGGTTTAGCGCCACTTCCCGTCACAAGACTATCTATTCCTAATCCAAGTTCTTGTACATACAAGATTGAATATCTTACTTATAGAGATATTGGTTTTATAACAAATCATCTAATTAATGTACGTGAAGGATGAATGTTATTAATATATTTGTCACATTTTTATTAGTAAGATTAACGATTTTGTGTTTTTTTTTTTAAAAAAAAAAAAGCTTGATATATACGCTATAATGGAAAAGAATGATCAACATGAAATTTCTAAATTGATGCAAGAATTGCTGCGATGTGCAACACAAAATAGTAAGAGTGAAAATCTGTTCTCATAAGTTTCATATTATTTGTATTTACCGATTTTTTTTTTTTTTTTTACCGTAGGAATTAATGAATATGACTGGTCAAAGATAAAAGAGTACAATTTTCAACTTGAGTTGATAGAAAAAAACAAATTAATGAATGAATTGAATTCATTTCACTGTGTGATATGTCCAGATTTAATCGAACATGTAAAGTATATTTAACTTGGTATTCTATCTACATTTTATTTGATTAATTTTTGTATGCCTATCAATTGACTATTTTAGTATGGACATATACATGGAGAGCGTGAGCTTAAAGCAAGAATTGACGATCTAAAACATACAATATCGGATCAAAATCTTGAATTATTACCAGTTTATGAACAAAAGATTGAAGTATTAAAGAGGTTAAAGTATATTGATCCGAATGGTACATTACAATTGAAAGGTCATGTTGCATGTGAAGTAAGTTAATATTCATCCTAACCATTAATTAACTTTTCGGAAGAATCAATTATATTAATAATAATTATATATTTTAATTATAGATCAATTCAGCAGATGAATTGGTACTTACCGAATTAATTCTTGAAAATGAATTTAAAGAATATGAACCAGAAGAAATTGTTGCTATGTTGTCATGCTTCGTATTTCAAGAAAAACGTGCTAATAAACCAAATCTTACGCCAAAATTAGAGGAAGTATGTATTATAAAAGTCGAGATTTTCTTTTATAAATATTAATATCATTTAATAAAATATTATTTTAGGGAGTAGAAACTATAAAGAAATTTGGAAAAAACATTGCTAAAGAATGTGATCTTAATGATGATGATATAAAAATAAACATTGGATTAGTTGAAGTAGTTTATGAATGGGCTAAAAAAGAAATGGTAATTAATAACAATTATTATTGTTAATGAGATATTCTTTTCATCATATTTGTTTATTTCTTAGGATTTTAAAGAAATTACAGAATTAACTGAAGTATTAGAAGGGTCAATTGTGAGATGTATTACAAGATTGGATGAAACTTGTAGAGAAGTAATAAATGCAGCTAGAATGATTGGTGATTCTTCTTTATCTAAAAAAATGAAAGAAGCTCAATCATCTATTAAACGTGATATAATAACTACTAAAAGTTTGGTAAGTTGTAAGAATTTTTTTTTTTGGATTTTCTTAATTTATTAATATTAGTTTTGTACTTTTTTTATAGTATTTGTAAACTTTAAGAAAGATTTGTAATAATATGAAATTTAATAATAAAATAATTTATAAAAAAATTTATATTTGTAATGTTTTTGATTAATAATATTTTTAATTGTTATAAAATTAATTTTAAAATCATTTTATGAATTATTTAAATATACTTATAAAATCATCATATTCTTTAGATTAAAAATTACTTATATATAATTTTTTATTAAAATTAGTTTAATATTCTTATAGTAATACAGTTGTTCCCCTTTATAGTTATCTCCTATATAGTCACCCCTTCACTTTAGTCACACTTTATTTAATCCCGATCTTTTTAAATAGAAAATACCTCTTTTATAATCACAAACATATTATAAAATATAATCATATAATTTATAAGGCCCAATATTATAATAAATATACAAAATTTACCTCTTATATAATCACAATAAAATTTTTACTCTATACAATCACAGAAATCACATGATAACATTGAATTTTGTACAACTATAAATATATGCATAATCACGTAATATTTGTATAGTTTGCACAGTTTTTGCATTTTTTACGCAGTTTGTTATTATCATGTTATCTATTCGTTCAGAAAAAACTAAAATAAACTTGTACTGTCATTAGTATTGATGCTAAAAAGGAAATATGTGAATATATGATAGCAAATCCTCATATAAGTCAAGGTGATATTGCTTCATTTTTTAACAAAAAATATAAAAAATTGAATATTGATAGAACAACCATTGAAAAAGTTATGAAAAATGGCTTGCAGTTTTATCTACTTCACAAATTTCACATATTTTTGAAATCATTTTGTTCAATTTTCAGAACTTGACAAAGTTACGCAAATTTAAACTTCACAAGCAATAGCTAATGGAATTCCTTTAACTGACATGATATTATAATAAAAAGGCTTGGAATTTGCTAAAACATTAAATATTGAAAAGCAGTTAAAATATGCTAATGGTTGGATATACAAATTCAAGTTGCGAAATGGTCTTCAAAGGGTTAATTTCTCAGGAGAAACTAATAGTGCTCCACTTAAGACTCTTCCAAAAGAACATCTGCATTTGCGTAGTCTTTTAGCTAAATACAGTGGCTCACAAAAGTAATGCAACCGCTAAATACAAAACTTTAAATTAATGTAACTTTTTATTTATAAATTATATCAAAGTAAAAAAAAAAGTGATGATATTCTCCGAATCAAAATTTATTAAAAAATACTT